CAAACAAACAAACAAACAAACAAACTCTTGTATTCTACAATGTTGTGAACAAAACTTTTTCTGGGGAGACTCCATATACACATCTATCTGTTCACTCCAGTTAAATGACCCACACAGACCAAGTACAGATACCACCAAAGAACCTCTTGGTGAATCTATGTGTTTTATTGAGGTTACTTATAAGGGTGAGGGGTTCCTTATGGAAGCAGAAATGACTCAAAGACAGCTGCATCACCAAGACCCCACTCAGCATGGATGAAGTCTGGGGACTTGGAAAAACACTGCACAGCCTGTAGGCAGCTCAAAAGGTTGGAGAGTGTCCTAACCTGGTGCTTCAGTTGATCTAACCCTCTTCCAGGTAGTTCAGTTGTTTTTGGCTTCTTCTAGGCCATTGGGCTGGTATCAGAGTCTTCTTTGCTGTTTGGCTTTGCTCTTCTGAGAGGGATTATCAGCTCTTATTGCTTACTATGGCAAGGAGGAGCCTAGTAAATATGGTCAGTTTCAGGGATTTCCTGAGATTCTTTTGAGTTATCTTCCTACTTAAGGAGCTTTCCTAAAGAATTCAATGTTTCAGCCCCATAGTGGTGGTGGCCCATGCCTTTAATCCCAGCACTTGGGAGGCAGAGACAGGTGAATTTCTGAGTTTGAGACCAGCCTGGTCTACAGAGTGAGTTCCAGGACAGCCAGGGCTACACAGAGAAACCCTGTCTCGAAAAACAAAAACAAAAAACAAAAAACAAACAAAAAAAGAATTCAATGTTTCAATCTTGGAGGAAACTGTTGCACAATATACAGGTCCCTGGCTATAAACTAGGAATGGCTCCAGGCCGGTTTCTCCTTCAGGGTGCCTGTGTCATCTTTCTTGGACCAGCTGGCTCTCCAGACATGTTCTCCAAATTGTTTAAGGCAGGAGTGCTAGAGAGGCAAGCAGAAACATGCAATACCTCTTGAGGCCAGGACCTTTAGAGTCTTTATACTGTAACTTCTGTCCATGTTGTTTTGCCCAGAAGCAAATACAATTATCTGAATTTAACAGCAACAGGGTGGAGAAGTGTTCTTACTCCTGAGTTATGACTGATCTACATTAAAAATCTTTTTAAAAAAGATTTCTTTATGTGAGTACACTGTCACTGTCTACACACCAGAAGATGGCTTTGACTCGCTTTAGAAATGGCTATGAGAAACCATATGGTTGCTGGGAATTGAACTCAGGAAGAGCAGCCACTGATCTTAACTTCTGAGCCATCTCTCTAGCCCCCCAGATCTACATTTTTTTTAAAAAAATCAGTTTTATTATTTTATGTGTATGAGTGTTTTGCCTACACGTTTCTAGCACCATGTGCATGCCTTGTGCCCACAGAGGCCAGAAAAAAATGACACTGGATGCCCTGGAACTGGAGTTATAGATGGTTGTGAGCCATAATTTGGGTGCTGGGAATCAAACCCAAGTCCTTTGCAACATCAGTAGGTACTTTCAGCTGCTGAGCTATCTTACTAGCCCAGACCTACATTTCAAAGTGCATGCTCGCACAGAACAGGGAAAAGCCGAGAGCAGTAAGCTCTTTGCCCGGGACTTTCCATCTTACTCTGGACGGGAAATGAGGCAAAGCATTTCTTCTCAAAGTAGCTAATAGGAATAGGAAGTTCCCCATTGTAACATTTGTCTTTAACTAAAGAAAGCAGGCTCTGGCCATGAGAGACTCCGTATTCTTATTCAGAAAGTGTCAAAGCCGGCAGTGACTCTCATAAGCAGTAATTTATAAGAAACAGGAGATAAACATCATCCTCTATAACGAATGCAGTGCTGGGAGCAGTAAGTACCCTGCTGGGCTGTAAGTACCCTGTTATGTATTAAGGTCTTAAAGTTATCAAGACTCCATTTTTGTAATTCAAAGGGATGCCAATCCTGAAAACTTTCCTAGAGTTAAGAGGACCATTGATTAGCCATTCTGCCAATGCAAATTTTTAGTACGTTTCAAAGTGAAAACGTATTTTTTTTTTTAAAGTTGCTTTTTAAGATACGAAAGAAGCACCTCCAACTAGGCAGTAAAGCTTTATAAAAATGAGGCTAAATTCTAATGTTCGTCAGGGACTTAAAACAACACAGCAACCTCTCGCATGCCTTTAACATTTGAGCCTCATTCTAGGGTCATTTCCACGGTTCCCACGTTCATCTCCACAGCCATCACACCGCTCAGTATTTCGTTTTTTTTTTTTTTTCTTTTTTGTAAAAACTGGCTGTAGAACATCAAAGACAGTCAGGCTGGAGCCCAGAAATTAACCCGGTATATGCTGTTCCAAGTGCCGGGTCTCCCACAGGGAGCCTGCAGGAGTCTGAGCCCAGCAGGATCGGCCCCCGCGCGCACCGGGACAGCCGATGCTCTTTGTTAAAGAAACAAATACAAGCGGCGGCGGCGGGGAATGGTGGTGGAGGTTGGGGGAAGAGACGTAGGCATGCATAACTGCGCCTAAGAAAGACCATTAGCAAGCCGCTGCAAACGCAGGACATCCCGGGCACCGTGTCATTGGCTTTTGTGCCCTGGAAAGCGCGTGAGAGTGCCCTGCTCAGAGGCTCCCCTTTGTGTGAAAGTGTGCAAACCAGAAGCCTGCAGTTCCCGCTGGCTTCGCCCCCCCCCCCTTTTTTTCCAATTCGTGGACACTTGGAACTAGATACTGTTCCTCTACACACACGCGCTCCTTCACCCTAGCTCCGAAGATCTCGGGACTTGAGTTACTTCTCGGCGGCGGACGGGGCTAGGAGCGACAAAGGCTGGGGCGGGCGGTCGCGGCTCCCCGGGACCCCCCCGAACGGGGGCCGCCCGCCGCGCTCCGCAGCTGCGCGCTGGGCCGCCCGCCCGCCGGCCACCGCGGGCACCAACCGCCGCGCAGCCGGGCCGTTGGGCGGTGGTAATTTCTGGGAACGGGGCGGGGTTCGGGGTGGACGAGATGGGAGGCGGAGCGGGCGGCGCCCCGGGCCGCCAAACGGGCGGGGCGGGGCGCCACGTGCGTCAGTGGCCGGGCGGGGCGGGCCGCGCGCTTCTGCCCGCCAGCGCCGCCACCATCCACCGAGCCCGGGAGACGCGCGGGGACTCTGAACACCCCGGCTGACAAGAGTTTTATTTTGCAATCCCTCACTTCCCTAACGCGTAGTCTTCGAGTGCAGAGCGGTCCCTCGAGGTCCTGGGAGGGGAGTCCCGAGTTGGAAGGGGATGAGGGGTGACAGCGAAGACCCGAGAGTGGCCCAAGAGGTGCGCGTGTCGTCCCGGCCGGGGTGCAGGTGCACGCGCGGCCCCGCCGTCCCCACGCGCTTGTCCCGCGGCCGCAGCGCAGTGCAGCGCGCGACGTGGGGGGAGTTGGGAAGCCCCGGGGACGCGGAGTGGGACAAGTGGCGAGCGTCTCCACCTGAGCAGGCGGGTTCGGGCGAAGTTGGGCCCGGAGGAGAGGGCGGGATTCGAGAGCGCAGGAGGCGGGCTGCGGGGGGCCCGAGGGCGGTGGGGAGTATAAATAGCCGGCCGGGTTTGACAGGCGCTGCGGTGACTGGCGGTGTCGCCTCCCCCGGCGGCGCGCGGGGAGGGAGGAGCGCGCGGAGCGGCCGGGTGGGGGAGGCGGACTCCAGTGTCCTGGTGGCGGCGGCAGGAGGCCGAGGGGGAGGAGCCGAGGCGGGTGCGGAGGGCGGGGGCCGGCCGCAGCTTCCCCGCGCCCGACTGTGTCGCCGCCGTCGCCTGGGCGGTTGGGGGGGATCTGTAGGGTGGCGCGCGCGGGGGGCGCAGCGCGGTTTTGTCTCGTCCTGTGGTGCGGAGCGGCTCGCGCAGTGGCCCGGGGAGGCCCCCTCGGCTTCCCGCAGGACGCCGAGCCAACGGCGGGCGGCTGCGGCGGCTCGGCCGGTCTGCGGCCCTGAGGGGAAGGGCAAGGGACACGGCGACGTGGAGGGAGAGCAGGTAAGAGCGCGGGGACGACGGAGGCCGGCGGGAGCGAGCGGGAGGGAGAGGGAGGGCGCGGCGAGCCAGCCCGGCCGTCCCGAGTGTCGCCTCCTCCCGGGCGCCCCCGCCCCGCGCCTGTGTTGTTTGCTCCGGCGGCGGCAGAGGGGCTTTCCGGAGGCTGGGGCGGTGACACCGGCGGAGCTGGGGGCAGGGCGGGAGCCCGCATCGGAGCGGCCCGGGGCAACGGTCGTGGCGCCGAGGGACCGCGGCGCGCGCTGTTTACCTCGCGGCGCCAGTCATCGCGCGGCGGCGGGGCTGCCGGGGAAGCGCGTCCCGGGCGGCAGTTTCCGTCGCCGTCGGGCCTGCTCGCCGCCGCCCGGGCGGGCACGACAGGTTGTACTCCGCGGTTCTTTTATTCTCACTCTCCGCCGGCCCTCCGCCGTCGCCTCCTCCTGGTCCCCCGGGGAGCCGGGCTGTGATCACAATCCGTGTTTGCAACAAAACAACAAAAAACCCCGGAGTTCTTGGAAGCGTCCTGGTCCAGTGTCTCCCGGGTCCCCTGCCGGCGGTGCTGGCTCTAAGGGCACCTCGCGGAGAGTGTCGTGGGCGCCCCGCACGCCTCGATACCGACTCTGCCTCAGCGGCGCTGCGCGCGGCGGCCGGACCCACTCAAGGCTCTAGTGGGACATTTTCACTCTGTCAGCAAAGGACGAAAAAATAACCCACTGTGCCGGGAGTGAGAGCCTAGTGCCGCTTCCGATGCCCCCCACGGGCCAGCTTGGTGGGCTGTCCTTATGGGAGCCACGTTCTCAGCTGAATACCCTTTCTTTAAGTTCTTAGTACTCTATCAATAAGATGGGGGACGCGTCATTGTAACCGTAGAACATCTTTCTCGTGTTCATGACATTACTCTGGTTTATGCTTTAATCCGGCAGTGAGAAAGTATAATAAAAACTGCGCCTTTGAGCTAAAGACTTTGCTTTTCTTCTTCTCCAAGTCTCGTTTGAGAGGCAAATTGCTCACTTTCTCTAGTGCCAGCATTAGAACTATGTCCATCCGGGCCTGGCTGAGATAAGAGTGTATATTTGTGGTTTACAGTTTCTTCAGAGTGTTGAATGACTTCATATTAGACTGAGAACTGTTGAATTTTGTTTAAAAGGATTTAGGAGTAAGGTTTATAGAAGGCAATGCAGTTTACGGAGTTAATTCATGTGGCTGTAGTTGATACATCCAGTAAATACAAGAAGTAGAAATTTGAAGTGTCTTCAACATTTAAAATTTCAATACTTAACGTTATCCTTTTGTTGTTGTTGTTTGCTTGCTTGCTTTTTGTTTCTCGAGACAGAGTAGAATCTCTGTGTAGCCTTTGTTGTTCTGGAACTTGAATTGTAGACTATGCTGGCCTCCAACTCATTGAGATAAGCCTTCCGCTGCTTCCCTGGGTTTCAAGGTGTATGTCACCACCCCCCTGGCAGTGTTATCTGCCTATTTAAACTTTATTACTTAAATTAATCATTGTACCTCCCAGACATAAATAGTTGCAAAATGTTTCGAAAGAGTTGAAAACTTTGGGGATTTTTTTTTTAAATCCCAGATTTCTTCAATGGTAAGTTTACCAAATCAGGGTTGATGGTTTTACCTGTTCACAGGTTGTGTGTATCTTTTTTTTTTTTTGGTGCACGGGTTGGCATGGGGAGAGGTTGCAGTATTATTGAAATACTAACCACATGCCATTCAGGTATAAGTGTACAAGTTCAATTTTTAAGGCATAGTTACTGAGTTGCACAATTACTGAACTCAATTTTAAAGCATGTTTTTACCTCTAAAAAAGATCATATGGGTCTGCAATGTAGCCCAGTGGCAAAGTGCTTGCTTTGCATGGGGGAGGATCTGAGTTCAATCCCCAGTACTACCAACCACCCTGTGCCCAAACCAGTTAGCAGTCGCTCATTTCACCCCTATCCTTCTGGCCCTTTGTATCTCTTATGTATTTTCCTGTTCTGGGTATTTCATATAAGTACAAGTGTACAATATGTAGGCTTTTGTGATTGCCTCTTTTGCATAGCATAAAGTTTTTAAAGCTTGCATGTTGCAGCATGTGTCAGTACGTTAGTATTGTTATTTTGCTGAGTAATACTCCTTTGCATGGATATGCTTCCTTATATTTAGCCATTCATCAGTTGATAGGGATTTGAGCTTCTACCCTTGGCTAGTGTAATATTTGTATGCAAGCTTTTGTGTGTACATGCTTTCATTTCTCTTTGGAGTGATATTTTTAAAGAAATCAGCCTTTTGGCATGATATCAAAAATAGTTCCTCCATTTTGAGTGTATAATCCAATTTTTTGGTTGTTTTTTTTTCTCCTCTTCTTTCTCCCCTTCTTCCTCCTCCTTCCTCTTCCTCCTCTTCCTCCTCTTCTTCCTCTTCTTCCTCTTCTGTGTAGCCCTAGCTGTCCTGGAACTCACTCTGTAGACCAGGCTGGCCTTGAATTCACAGAGATCCATCTACCCCTGCCTCCTGAGTGCTGGGATTAAAGTGTATCCTACCACTGCCTGACTAATCCAATATTTATAAACAAATGGATAAGATTGAGAATATCCCAGTCTTGCTTTATAAATACTCTTTTTGGTCCACCCCTAAAATTTGCCATAACCTGTTTGTGGTTAATTAACTGTCAGTCCCCAAAGGCCTAGCTCTAGGCAATAGCCATTTCGTTTCATTTCCCTATGTTTGTTCCCTCTGACTATTCTGCATAATGGAATCATAATGCACATTTTTTAGGCTTGACATCTTTCATTTAGCACACTTTAAAGATTTTTTTCTACATTGTAGCATGTATCAGAACTTTATTCTGATAAGTAGTATTTTATGGATATGCCAACCGACCAGTTATGATAGGTATTTGAATTGTTTCCAGTTTCAGACGGTTTAAAATGATACACCTTGTAGGTTTGATTACAAGTCCTTATGTGGATGTATGGTTTCCTTTTGGTGGGTAAGCACATGGAAATATACTTTACTGTATCATATGTTTAACTTTCAGAGAAACTTTCAAACTGTTTCTCCAAGTGGGAGTACCGTCTTTTTTATCAGTCGTGTACTGGAAGAGTCTAGTTTTCTTCATGTCCTTGTCAACGCTTATTTCTGTCTGTTATTTTCACTCAAGATGGGTATGAAGAGTCGTGTTAGTGGCTAGGACCTGGCTTGCTCATTGAAGGTTTGAGTTTCCTCATGATTCAGAGTGTTATCTTTTCATATAGGCAGTAACTGTAAGGCCCTCTCCTGTCTTTCTTATGGTCTTAGTTAAACATGCTAAGCAAGTACTCCACCAGAGACTTACATTCACAGCCTGTTCATTTATCTCTTTTAGTTAACTTTTTGGTCCGTTTTTATTATTTACAGATAATTTTAGGGATTGGACTCTGCATCTGAAGAAAAAAAGGCCTCTTGAGTTTTGGTAAAGATTATTTTGAATCAATACATCAATTGGTGGTGAATTCCTGTCTTACCACATTGAACATGAGAATGACTTACTGATCTTCAGTATTCATTTACATTCTATGTTCCTCAGCAAATAAGCCTTATACTTTAAAAAAGAAGCTGTATTTAGGTGTATAATATAGTAGTATTGTTTTTATGATCAAATGTGACATAGCAAATCTCTAGAATTTATTCTATTTGTACATGTATTGTACGTTGTGTACAACCGAAACTTTGTCTGTTGATGGACAGCTTGGCTCTTGTAAGCTCCTGGAGACTACTGTCCTCTGCTTCTATGAGTTTGGCTATTTTCAGTAGCTCATATAAGTGTACCTGCTGTCTGTGTCTGCCTTAGACCACGTAGTATAATGTTCTCACCATTCATCCATGTTGCAGAATTTCCTTTATTTTAGTTTATTTATTTTTTTTTCTGGAGACAGGGTTTTTCTGTGTAGCCATGGCTGTCCTGGAACTTACTCTGTAGAGCAGGCTGGACTTGAACTCAGAGATCTGTCTGCCTCTGCCTCTCAAGTGCTGGGATTAAAAGGGTACGACACCACTGCCCAGATGAATTTCTTTATTTAGAGGATTGTTGGCTAGCTCATTTATATGAGCATACCAGATTTATAGTTTTTCTTTTCCAGTTTATTTTCTGAGTGTTTTATTCTTTATGATGATACTGTGAATGGAATCATCATTTTTTTCTTTATATTTGTTTGTTTTCTTAATGTATGTGTACATGTGAGGTGATGTGCTGTAGGTGTGAAGGCCAGAGGGCAACTTTTGGGAGTGAGTTCTGTCCTTTCCCCATGTGGGTCCTAGAGATGGATCTTAGGGAGTCAGGTTTGGCAGGAAGTGCCCTTACTCCTGAGCCATGTCATGGCCCATAGATGTGGTTGTCCTTACAGTGTGCCAGTTTTGTTGGTGGAATACAGAAGCTGCATTGATTTTTCTTTTTCTTTTTTTTTTTAGTTTTCAGCTTGGTATTGAATACTTTTATCTCACTGAAGTAATTATTCTTACAGTATTTTGGGTGGACTCGTAGTTTTTACACACAGTACCGTATATCCTGTAATGGAGTTGGCTTTGCATTATCCTTATCAGAATACATTTCTTTTTTCTCTTGAGTCGAACCACCAGGAAGTAAAGGCTGATTAGAAGTGGGCAAGAGCCTGCCTGCCTTCCTCCAGGTTGGTAGGAAGGAGGAGAGAGTCCATTGAGTTTTTTATCATAAGGTACAGTGTTAGCAGATGGTGCTAGCAGTTGTGTTGTCTTTAATCATGAGTGGGTACTGGACTGTCACATGCTCTTCCCATGTCTCTTGCCGTCACCAGCTGTGACTCTTTACCTGGGCCTGCCTTGTTTAGCATCAGAAGTCTTGCGTCTTGGGAAGTCCTTCAGTCCTACACAAATCAGTAGGATTGGTCATTATGAGATGACCGATGGTTTGTCCTTTATTCCAGTCATATGTAATATTCCAACGTTATTTCATTTGACTTCAGGTATGAAGCAGGCTCCCAGGATAAACCCTCCCTTGC